GGACGGCAGTGTGTTTTTAATATAAGCGGTGTGTGTTTTATTCGGTGTTTAAGCCTCGTCGTCATTAGTTGACAATCCTTAAAGCATTTGCTCAGAGCGGCTCACGACCTGACACTTATGTTTCTATGACGACTTATGTGTTTCTATGGGAACAATATCAACACATAAAACAATCAATAGAGGAAACCCCAACCCAATAATGAACGGTCATTATCTCTATTCAGATCTCAGAAAATTTAGAGATCTGTTTAGTTATAACACAATTTATATATATATATATATATATATATATATATATATATATATATATATATATATATATATATATATATATATATATATATATATATATATATATATATATATATATATATATATATATATATATATATATATATATATATATATATATATATATATATATATATATATATATATATATATATATATATATATATATATATATATATATATATATATATATATATATATATATATATATATATATATATATATATATATATATATATATATATATATATATATATATATATATATATATATATATATATATATATATATATATATATATATATATATATATATATATATATATATATATATATATATATATATATATATACACACACGTATATAAAGTATGTACAGTTGTTAAAGCAAGTATATTAGTAACTGTAATTAAATTAACTAAAAATAAAAAAGTATGACTTTACCCTTTACAAGAAAAGTAACGTTCAACATTGTTCTAGAGGTAGCGTTTGTACAAGAGGGCACCTTGTAAAACTAATTTCAGACACATTTTCTGAGAAAGCAAAAGGATTTAATCCTGTACAACAACAAAAAAGAGTGCTTTGGTGATAACCAAGTGATTATTTGCTTTCTGATATACTAACTTCTTTCTGGAAATGCCATCAAAAGTGTAAAACTTTGGTCTAAAATGTGCATTTACACACAAAATAACACCCGAGCGCCACTTTAAGACATCATGTTTATTTATTTCAAGCTCACCTGTCAGAAATGGAGCATACAAGATTGTGGGATGTTGTAATTCAGTATTAAAATTCAACAGGAAGTAAATCAAAATTTGTATTCGGACGTACTTTGTTTCCTTCCTACCAATTTATCCATTGTCAAGATGATCTACTGAAATTCAAACTGAAAAAACTACTGATTTGCTGCGATTTAAAGGGTTAGTTCACCCAAAAATGAAGAATTACTCACTGTTTACTCTCCCTCAAGAAGTTCCAGATCTATCAGAATTTCTTTATACAGTTTAACACAGAAAAAGACAGTTTAAAAATAGCCGGAAACCATTGACACCTACAGTAGGAAAAACAAATATTATGGAAGTCAATGGTTACCGGTTTTCAGCATTGACCAAAATATCTTATTTTGTGTTCAACAGTAGCTCGAAACTCAAACAGGTGTGACAAGGGTTGGACAAAAACTTAAAGGGATAGTTCACTCAGAATCTGGAAAATCTGTTAACTCGTACCAAACTCATTTGAGCTTCTTTCTTCTGTTGAACACTAAAGAAGTTATTTTTAAAAAATGTTGGAAACCTGTAACCACTGACTTTCCATAGTAGCTGTTTTTCCGACTATGGAAGTCAATGGTTACAGGTTTATAACATTCTCCAAAATATCTTCTTTAGTGTTCAACAAAATAAAGAACTTGTACTCACTTTAGGAAGAGTAAATTGTGAATAAGTTTCCATTTTGTGTGAACTATCCCTTTAATAAGATCTTGAATGATAGCTAATTATATTAAGTGTGTAAATATGCAGTGTGTACAGTAATGTGATATTTAATAATAGGCCTAATTACAGTAATACAATAGCCTAGTATTATCTAAAACTCATTGCAATTGGAAGGGCATCCGCTGCAAAAAACATTTGTCAGAGTAGTTGGCAGTTCATTCTGCTGTGGCAAGTCTGGCAAACCTGATAAATCTAAACCAAAGGAAATTGATAATGGTATCTGAAACTCATAGTAGAGCAGACCCTTTGCTTTGTTCTCTATTCCTTGGTCTCCTCACACACACACACACACACACACACACACACACACACACACACACACACACACACACACACACACACACACACACACACCGTAGAAGATCAATAGTCATGTTGAAACGCGTTTCTCACATCTCAGTGTCACCTCTGTCATCTCCATATGCTCAGTCGTGACTCATGACAGCTCTTGACGTGTATTCAACAAGACTGAATTGTGTGTGCGTTTTAGGTTTATGATTGTCACGGACTGACAGGCGCGTAATAATACGACGCAGCGCAGCGTTTCCGCGCGCGCGCACCGGCGGTCAGGTGTTTTGATGGATGCGCGGTGATCCCGAAGAACATTTGCCATCTCTTTGGACAGAAAGCCAATAGAAACGCGTTTTCTCTACGTAATGAATCTCCTCCTCCTCCTCCTCTTCCTCCGACATAACGGAGCGATGCTGGCGTTCACGCTTCAATCCGATCGCGTCTAATCGCATCGCGGCACGATGGACAACGCTGGCTTGATTTGAGAAAGGGAAAAGCCCTCAGCGCCACATATATACTCACACACAATGCACGCCAATGCCTTTCTCTGGATGTCTGGGCTCCTGATAGCACCTCGCTGAGAGATGATGCTCGCGTTACGGTTTGCTCGTCGTCCGCTTTATTCGCGAAATAAGCCGCTGAACGGACGCTTGACCACTACGAACCTGCCTTCACGCATAAAGCCTCTTCTGACCATCCGCAAGGCACACGGTATCTTGTACACGAGGGCTTGGGAGACACGATTAAAGTTTCAACGATGTAAATCGAGGTAGGTCAACCTTCGGAAAAGGGTGCGCGTTCTCGCATCCGCGCCGTCGCCAATTATCGCCTTTAATGGGTGTTTGCTGTTATTTTTGCTAATTGCATCACTGAATCGCGAGCTGTCATGGTGCTGATAGCTTCAGTGCTTCAATAGCAGGACCTCACTTCATGCTGGAGCTCCTTTAGGCCTGGGAAACACAACACACGTCTTCCATTTTCAAGTGTAATAGCCTGTATTATTGTGCGCATCTGAATGTAGCGTTAAAATGACACGCAGCGCTTGTTGTTCATCGCCATGTTTTCCTGCACGCATGTTCAAGTGAACTTGTGAAGTGAACTTCTGATAGTGGCATATCTGCGAACTTTGATTTCTGGAGGTCCATTGTAGGTATTTTGGGCACGTGGTCAACACAACAAACCCAGCAATCAGTTTCAGGTGATTCTCATCTCCTCAGATGCCTGATAATGGGTTGTTTTCGTTCTGGAAAACGCATGTAACGCACTGCAGGTCGATCAGGATACACAAGCTCAATTTAAGACGCTAGTTTATGTAATGGACCACGTATGGTGCGAATTATGAGGTAAACAATGAAAAGTTTGATGTTTATTGTTTTACATGTTGTATCAACGCTGCTAGTTTGTGTTTTAAAGGGATAATCCAGCCAAATAATAATAATTCTGTCATCATTTACTCATCTTTCACTTGTTCCGAACCTGTTTGTTTATTTCTATTGAACACAAGGGAATATTTACTAAAGACTGTAGCAGCAGCTGTTGACTCCTGTGGTAAAGTTAGACGTTTGACATTCATTAGACATTCGGTGTCAAACAAACCAGTTAAATTCTTTGCTCTTGTTATAATTTGAGTCAAAAACATGTCAGATAGACATAAATGTGTGCTCTTTATGTTGCACAAGCTTAATTTCTCGATTAAAAACAAATCAATTAACCATACAAATGAATTCAACCATATGCAATTATACAGCAAGACCAGAACCAAAACGTTCAGATCAAACGTCTTGCTTATTGCACAAGACCGTAAAAATGATAAAAGTCAATTAAACTCTGACACCATTTGAGATAAACGATTCAAATCAACTTAAAAAATTCTAAATATTATCTCTATGATGCACAAGCTTTATTTTTTACAGTTTTGCCTTTTTTTTGATTTTATATACCGGAATGAATCCACATTTTCAGTAAATCCAATACACTGTATAAGCATGGGTCAATTAGTTAAGCTCAATTTGAGTTTAAAGGGATAATTCAGCCAAATAATAATAATTCTGTCATCATTTACTCATCTTTCACCTGTTCCAAACCTGTTTGTTTCTTTCTTCTGTTACCAGAAGCCGTTGACTCCTGTGGTAAAGTTAAACGTTTGACATACATTAGACATTCGGTGTCAAACCAGTTAAATTCTTTGCTCTTGTTATAGTTTGAGTCAAAAACATGTCAGATAGACATAAATATGTGCTCTTTATGTTGCACAAGCTTAATTTCTCCATTAAAAATAAATCAATTAACCATACAAATGAATTACATTCAACCATATGCAATTATACAATAAGATCAGTACCAAAACGATCAGAAAAACATCCTGCTTATTGCACAAGACTCTGTTTTTGTAATGGGCACTTTATTTAACTTATAATATTTTAAAAATATATTTTAATGTAAATATTGTAAATGTACTGTTTTATATACAGCAATGAATCCATGTTTTCAGTATATGGGATACACAGTAAACACTTAAATGAAATAAACTCTGACACCATTTGGGATAAAAGATTTAAATTGACTCTAAAATGGTCTGAATATTAATCTCTGATGCACAAAACTTAGTTTTTTACAGTTTCGCCTTTGTTGATTTTATATACAGTAATGAATCCGCATTTTTAAAAAAGTGATTAGATAACTTAAAGCCAGTAAAAGCATTGTTTAAAAAAAAGTAAGTTAGCCTGTTAAACTTTTCATTAATTTTATTTTCGGCTTAGTCTCTTTATTAGTATGAGGTCGCCACAGCGGAATGAACCACTAACTTATGTTTTACACAGCAGATGCCCTTCCAGCTGCAACCTATCACTGGGAAACATTCATACATACAAACACTACGGAGAATTTAGCCTACCCAATTCACCTATAGCACATGTCTGTGTGGGGAAACTGGAGCACTTTATTTTCAGCAGAAGAAAGAAAGTCGTAAAAGTAAACGATGACAGAATTTTCAGCTTTCTGTGATTATTGATTATTTCTTTAATTAGACATACAAAATACTTCAAAATATAATGTTTAAAAAATTCCATACTCTAAAAACCGATTAGATAACTTTAAAAGTGAGTAAAAGCATTGTAAAAAAAGTAAGTTAGCCTGTTAAAATCATTTCGCAAATGAGCTTGCTTGATTAGAAAACGTGCAAAATCATAACCAAGTTGCCAATTAACAGTTCCAATTTACAATGGGTTTACTGACTTTTATTTCAGCAGATTTACTTTCATTGTGAAACTACAACAAAACTACAACTATAACAATTTTTTTTGTATAAATTTAAAGGATATGTAATTTGCTTTTTAATGAAATTTAAAAATAATTGACAGAATTTAGAAATTTATCATCATACATAAAAGTTAAGCATAACTGAGTACAGCCCATTTTGAAAATAATTATATTTTTATCCATTTCTTAGTAAATAGGCAATATATTTTGGTGCATTTAAACAAAACCGATTTATGAAACTGATTTTACTGATTATTTTAGTCACCAAACATATTTGGAAATTGAAATAATGCATTAAATTCAAGCAAAATATTGGCAAAAAAAAAAAATAAATATATATATATATATATATATATATATATGAGCATTATCACACGAGTAGCAGTGCGATATGGCTGTATATCTGCACTGGTGGGAGGTGTACCTTAGGGCACTACTCACACTATGACATCCGTCTCCATATCCCAGACCCGTTTCCCGGATCGTTAGAGAAGTGTGAGTGCGCTGAATCGGGCTCAAGCACTTATCTAGCATGCTGTTATCAGAAATTAAAATATATTTAAACTAGGCACTATCCTTACGAATAAACT